AGCACCCCGTTGTACTCAATTCAATTTTATAAAGTGCATGTGAAGTACTTCACTGTATTTTAAAAAGTGAACTCCTGCTCTCTTTAATCTTAGGATTAAAGAACTTGCAATCACTGTGCATGACAGGACTGTTTAAAATATAGAGTTTCAAGGCCTGCAGTGTGCAGAGGGTACTGTCTCAGTGATATTTTTAAATGTCTATAAATAATGTGTCAATTGTATACACTTTGGCAACACTGTAATTCACTGGTCATTGCACTGAATTGATACTTCTTCAGTCCGATGATCAGAGGTCAGGAGGTGGTCATTTAAACCCCAGGTCATTTTTACCTCAGGCCTTAGCAAAACAAAGGTGGAATTTCACACCCAGCTGGTAGTGCTCTTCTGCTTAGAATTGAGCGGCAGTGTCAGAACCTAGGAAACTGGACTTCCAAGTATTAAAATAATAAGACATTTAAAGTTATAGAAGAGAAACACATTGCAAAACAAGTTCTTGAAACGCATTACCATACGATGTCTACTGCATATTGTGGTCACATAAATCTTCCAAAGTACCCAATCCAGAAAAGGTGGGAGATTGATTATGGTTAACGTTAGTTTCATTCAGGTACAATTCTCATTAAAAAATACAAAAATTGTGACTAAACTGCTGAAAATATTATAATGTATTGCAGGATACAAAGATGTGTTTTAAAAGGCTTAGATGGTATTGCATACAAAATAACTGTTTAAACAGCAAGTTGTGGTCTTAAAAGACCATGGACTAAGGCAGAGCCAAGTGTTACAGTACATTGTCTTTTCAAGCCTGTGTGCCACGTGAAGGTATTCAGATTATTAATGAAAGGCTGGAGACTGCCCTTTTATCTCAAGAATGGATTTATCCAAGCTCTGAGACTTAAACCACCATTTTGGCAGATCAGCACTATAGAATTGTTTCTACATAAAGAGAAAAAAACCTTGAGTTTAAAGAGTCAGGAACAATGTAATATTCTCACATCCTCTACAATCCAGTCTCACTTTGTAGTACAGTACATTAGGCCACAGCAACATCATCTTTGGTTTTGCATAGATAGGGATTTGAAAACAGGACATAAATTCTCCACCATGAGAATGAACAGTTTTCAAACCACAGACCCTGATGAGATCAGTACTCAGCCAACATACAGTAATGTATAACATACTACAATAATATTCATTTAATATATCAATAGGTTATTACTGTGCTGTTCAACACTGCTGCTGTCAATAATCCATTACATGAAAAATCATCTGTATTCATCCACTGAAGGTTTCTATTAACAAAGACCATCTGTAAGGATAGGTAAATCTGGACCATGCATGCACCTTTCAAACATTACACAGTAAAGGATTAACTCCTGGGTTTTACATCTGTTGTTTTCCTGTATCCTTATGACTATAGTGAAAAATTCAATAGTGTTTCCTGAGAGATACTCAGATTCCTGTACCCCGGGTGGAAACACCTTGCTGCCTGGGCTTGTTTTCACAAAGGGAAACACAATGGTCGCAGCAGCCTAGAAAAGCATTTGATCCCTCTCAAAGAATTTAAACACCATTTGTTGTGTAATGACATCTCTCTTTTCATGTGAGTGACCCCGAGACAGAAACATGGAGCTGGAGATTGGGCTGTTTTTAAGAGCCTCTGTAAGCCTCTTGCTTAGACACAAGGTTTACCTGCAACAGCTGCACTGTATTTCAGAGGCAGAGCAATTCAACTGCATTTAAAATTTGCCTTAAAGTCAAAGAAAAAGATTTTAAAGATGGTAATGATTTTTTTGTACAATGGTATGATTTTTTGTACAAAATGAATCAAGTAGTTCCTAGGAAATGTATTGTGCTGGTTGACACCCTAAAACATGTGGCCTAAATTCTGAGCACAGCTGGATCCCAACAGGAAGAGCAGTTGATGGAGAAAGGAAACAGAACAGCTTTTTCTTTACTGCATATCATAACAATTGCATTGAGTAGTGCGGGGGCTGGTACAATCAGGAGAGATAGACGGGGTCAGATTCTCAACATGACGCAAGAGAGGGGGGAGAAATGAAAAGGGATGCTCCGTCACTACAGAGCTGGAGTTCAGCCTCTGTGAAAAGCAGTAGATTACAAGAGGCCAATGAGGGCTGAGAGCTAAAGAGACATTTGTGCATTTTGTTGCAGAGATTAACTTGTAGCACTGTGGATCTGTCAGCAAAAATAAAGGGACTACCACCTGTAAAACTAAAACACGAGAAAAAATTCTGTGATTTATTCTGGACGAGAGAGAAAAGTGATTCCTTTAATTTGGCAGTTTCTGCTTATTTATAATGCTGAGCTGTCACACTAGTCTGCTATTGATTTTTGCATTTCAAATTTTAACTTTAGGTAACTAATACACAATTAAGAATAGATTAATTGCTATGCTATAAGAAGTATCAATTTTGTGCTAGTATTCACATCTAGTATTTTGCTAATGACCGCTGTGCCTCCATTAATCACAACCACAGCCTGAGCAAGACTCAGACTGTAGTTACTGTACCGATAGGTTGCAACTGTTGATATCACCTTTGAAAGTTAGTGAATTAGACTAGATTTTGAGAGGACAAGAGTTGAAGATCAGTGCTAAAATGTGCCAAAGCGTTCCAGTATACATTATTTACATAATATACATTTTATATTTGTAAGAAACAATCCATATTTTGGATAATAATCTGCAGCTGCAGTACCAGGTAGGCCTAAAGAGTCACTGTATTTCCTTATTTTACTGTAGAGTAGCAATAGTTGGTTGAAAAATATTTTGCTTGATAAGACATAATCCCCACCTTAAGAGAAACAATATTCCGAAACAAATAAGTAAGAAATCAAAATAAAGTGATCAAGCAGAAATATTTCCACCGTATTAAAGCTTATAGCAATTGTGAAAATGCCTCAGGCCTCATTTAAAAATGCTCACGATCATGTCAGATGGTGATGTGGACTGGTGTCTCTGATGGTAAAAAAATCCAGCCTGTTTGGCTGACAAATGGTATTGATTCACTTGAGCTCAAAGCACTTTGCTTTCTCTCATTTTTCTCTCCTGCAGCTCCGAGCATCATGAAAGACGTGATGCAGATTTAATGGGCAAATTCTGGCACATTGTTACATGACAATAAAATGGGAAACGTGGCTAACCATTAAAGAAGAAAAAACTCATTATTCTTCTTTTACAAGCTCTATCTTCATTGCAAACAGATAAAAGAAACACAATCGCAACTGCTATGAAAAGAGCACCATGTGATCCATAATTTTTTAAATGATAGAATTGTCGGCACAATAAAGTGAAGCAGCAGGAGTGTCACTGGAGACCCAGACACACAAAAGTTCTTTTGGAATGTTTTGAGAAAAACAAGAAAACTGACGTACTTCTTCTACTGAGACTTGTTTGTAACACTTTGAAATAGCAGGAAATAATGTGGTAGGAGCAGCATCCATCTTGCTTCCAAATTTATACATTTGTTTTGCTTTCTTTGAGCTCCAGTGAAAGTTTTATTTTTAACCTAATCTAATTTGTTTTTTATGTTTTAATTATCCAGTGGATTGGGTCAGAATCTCCGTCATTCCAAACCGAATGCATGTCCCTTGTGCTCGGTGGACAAGATGTTAGTCTGTCAGTGGATTATTAGAACAGGGGTCAGGAGCTCTGTGGCACTTGAAACAGGTGTGCAGGACTTGCCACATAAGAAAAAGGCTCAGAAGAAGTGCACATTCCAAAAATATCTAAAAGTATTAACCAGTATCCTTTCACTTCTAGTAGTATCCTCTTTCAGAATGACTCATAACTGAGTGTTTTTACTGATATAACCCTACACCAGGTTTCAAATAATCTATTCAGAAGTTCTTTTCAAAATTACTCAATGACTGAGAAAATAAAAATCAGTATTCATTATTCATAGCTGTATAGTATAGTTGACGGGTCTGAAAAGATAAGTACAAAATAAAGCTGCAATCCAAGTACAATTTCTGAAGGAGAAAGGAAACCAAAGATGAACTCACAGCCAGCTGCTGAGTGTTCATGACAGCTCACTGCTACAATTGCACAGTCAAACCACTAACAGGAAAACACAGGAAGCAAATCGACGTGCTGCCTCAAAAGTGCCTCAAAGGATGTGAGCGAAAGAGAAACCAGACAGCGACTTCTCTTTGGCCTTTTAAATACGTGGCCAGTTCTGCTGAGAATCTGACTGCTGTAGTTTTAGAGAACATACTGAACCATTGGAGGACTCCATGCCATGCACAGAAGCAAATGAACACAGTTAATCCCCATCTACACAAAACTGTACCTGTGATGAAAAACACTGCAGGCTTTGGAGACCCAGCAAATTGTAATCGTTAGGTTCCTTCCCTTTATCTTAAAAGAAGTAGCCAAAGCCACAACGACTGTGCAAAAAAACTAGAAAAACAAACTGGGTATTTTATAACACCCAAAGAAGTGGTGGCTTCTTTCAGCACCACCGCTGTTTGCCAGCATACACCAAATCTTTCATTTCGTGTTGCATATTCTTATTGTTTTTTCTAAACCTGACTATTGCTGTTGCTAAAGTAAAAAACAATTACTTAAACTACTGGCTAACAGTTGATTTCCTGAGTTTGAAACATAGAGATAAAAGCAACATCAGCTAGGCATGAAACGCACAATACCAGGTGCTACTCAGCAGGTAACATTCAAACTAATATCCACCTCATATGCCTAATTCTAATAGGATAATCAGCCATGACTTTATTTTCAGTACCATTTCACAGAAAGAGCACAAACAAAATGCAAATCCAAACTTATTCAGAGCATTGAGAAGCTAGGTTTACCCCTTTTTAAATGGTCTGTTCATTTTAAGCTAAACTACCAAAAACAAAAAAGGATATAAATCACAAAATCAAAGAGACAGTGTATTTCAAGTTCTGAAATGCAGTTAATCAAGACTGCTCCTCTCCAGGAACATGCTGTAAGCAGATAGTGCAACTGCAAATCTGACCTTTCAGATGCACCAGTGTAGAACAGTGGTTAGGGGCTCTGGGCTCAGAACAGGAAGACTGTGGGTTCAAGTCCCAGGTGGGGCACTGCCATGGGACCTTAGGCAAGACACTTCATTCTGATGACACACTAAAACACTGATCTGTATAAACAGAAAAAGGTCAGACCAATAAATTATTAATAACCTAAAAAGCAAATAAGTGGCTTTACCTCTTCACTCCATTTAACCTTAAAAATATTTCTATTGTCATCCTGCACTTCCTGCAAAAAGCTTACCCTGAAGTTCTGTATCTGTCGCTGCTGTGGCTTTTGTTTCATGAGGACTGACACAAATTCGGTACTTTCAACACTCCATCTGAATGGCACAGCAGAAATGAAATTAAGACAATATTCTGGGACACTTCCGCTTATTCCGATTAAGACAGTTCCGGGTGATTTGATGCAAGTATTTAAATTCCTGAAATGTGCTAACAAATGCTTCAGGACTTCAGAAGAAATACAAAACCAACACCTAAGGATGCAAGTGGGAATTAGGAGGATATGTACCATACAGTATTTAAGACCGAAAAAAGCAGGCACTTCTTTACGCAAAGGGTGGTTGCTGCCTGCATTAAGTGATACACTCACACTGTTGAAACAGTTTTTAGGATTTTTTATAAAATTAGGTTGGATAAGATACTTGAATCAATAAACTAATTAGCAACTGAACCAGTACGATTAGGTTTAAATGAGAGCAAAACCCTTCTTATGTGCTTAGAATTACTAGAACTGTGATATGTCAGGGATGAGATTTTCACAATACTTGGAAATTTATTCTGCATGATTAAGAAACACATACTTAAAACACTAACACATTCTAAAATACTTCTTTCCATCCTATATTTTGGCAATATGCATTGTTTTCACTTCATAACCAACCTCATTCTAATTTTCCCATAATCTTGTTCAACGTCAAAGGTTAAATGTGATGTTAGGACATGCCTGGACCAAGTCTGCCATATGTTCCATTGGGCCTATGCCATTTCCTGTATGTCAAAAGTAAATGTATTACTCCACACTGCATAAGCTGTGAACCAGAATTGGCCCACAATGAGAACTGCTGTTGACTGTTCTCATTTGACAATCAGTGGTTTTCAGAAATGACTGTAGGTAAATGCAGAGAAACTACAACATGGATATTAGAACTTGGTTCTCAATGTAAATCATCACATGAATCATTGTGTATGGCCTGTGGCATTACAGTGCAGTCTGCTACTGTGGTTCTTGCAGTTGTCTTATAAATGTCTCCTTTTTAACCAATTATATAAATTCCACAGCTTCTCTGACCGTCTCACTGTAAATCCTACAGACAGACAGCATTAGTGAAGAATCTGTGCCTTTAAAGCATTTTGGCTGACTAAAAGAGCCATGTCCCTTTACTGCTGGTGAAAGTGATCTCTGGGGCCAAAATGAGTTTACTTCCCAAACACAAGAGAAGAGCTTGTGAACAATGTACAGTACCTTTTCACTTGTTGAAACTATTTACTTACCATACTACCAAACAGGCCAGATGGACAGAACAGCCTCTTCTAATTTGTAACTGTTTTCATGCTCTTATGTTTTTTTGAAGACTTATGAGAAATGAATGTTTGCAGAACTGCAAATGTGGAAAAGTGTTTCCAATCCCTTCACTTAGCACACACTATAAAGAAGTGTTAAAACTACTATTACATTAATATTATTGAAAAAAGACAAAGGTCCTGCAAGCCTATTTTGCTCTGATGCTAAGCTATTGTATATACAGTACAGTACTAAAATGCTTTTACACTAGCTGGAGAACCACATTACTAGACTGGTACACTACAAATAGAATAGCTTTTATCAAAAAGTGCTTTATGTCCGATAACATTTTCCACCCCCTCCACATGACACACACAGCAACAGACAGTGCCTCCCCTTTTGTCTTTGCTTGGACACCAAGAACCTCCAGTGGGAATATCTATGGTCATTTCTGTATCATATAGGCTTGAGATCAGGTTTCATTAATATGGTTAAAATGTTCTTCTGCATAATGGGTGGGTTCATCAGGGATGCCCACTTTCACATCTGTTGTTTGCTGCATCTTTGGAGCTATTATATCATGCTGCCCATCAATCTACTATCTCTACCTCAATCTCCCTAACAAACACACAACACACACCACTGCACATTCCAATATACTAATGGCACAGTGTTATACACAACATCACCGAAACACTGCCCCATCTGCTAATTATTATTTATGATTCCAGAGCATTATCTAGGGATAAAATCCATCGTTCACAGTCTGCATTACTACCTTTGAAATCCATGAAATGGAGAAGACTGGCCTGCCTTTGACTTTGACTAGTCAGACACTTCAGATACCTTGGCATTGCGATTTACTCTTCTTTACATGCAATCACAGTGAACAGCTATAACAACATGTGAGATAGGTATTTTATGCAAATTTGAGCAGATGGACAATTATTCTTCAAGCACTTGCCTCCAGAATCAAAACGAATGTGCTTATACACTTGACATTTTTAGTCCTATTACTCCTCTTTCTCCCTTGTTAGGGTATTGGGACAGATTGCATATGAGGATTTCTTAAATTCATATGGAAAGTGAAGGAAGCATATACCCTATAAAATACTCAACTCCCTCTATAGCATGAAAATCTAAGGAGGGGCCTAGGTCTGCCAAACTTTAAATTTGTGTTGAGATCATTGCCTGATTAGTTTAATTTTGACACTTTACTTGGCATCTTCTTGAAAACAGTCTGGTCTCTCCATATAAACATCAGCTTTTAATTTAAAGTATTAAGAAATAATTAATTGCATGTATATCATGTTTTTTATCCCAGAGAATCCCAAAGCAGTTCATAAATAGAAAGGGATCCATTTTAGCCACCTCTGAAGTGCAGGTCCCAATTTAGTTCCCACCTAGGCAATGTGTGGTGGCCATTCTGTGTCAGCACCCCAGAAGATCAGGTAGAGGAAACAAAGATGACCTCTTTACCTGAGATTACCTGAATTTAGGAACTTAAAAGAGCCAGATGTCGCAAGCCCAGAGTAGAGTTTAGCCATGACACTGGGTTTTTTTAAATGACTTAAATTTAACAATTTACCGCCCAACCTTGCTTAACTTGTGAAATCTATAGAGATCAGGCAAGAAGGTGGTGATATGCTGTTCCCCTTAGACACTGTAGATTTTCTTTTAGCCCTAAAATAATGGCCTTAATGGCCTCAACACAGACTTTCAATTTTCTCTTCAGAGAAAATAATAAGAGAAATCATTTTCTCTTCAACTTTTAAACCAGCAAACTTTTCGTAGCACTGCATTAAAACTGCTCAGTGAGTCATGCCCAATTATACAGGACATGCATGATATTGAGTTTTCCCTAAAGATCAAGTCTTTCCCACTCCATCTCAGAGCTTTCAAATCTACATATGCATTAGGTGCTCATCACACACTGCACTTATACAGTATATTCCAGGTTCAGACTGCCACAAACTACGGGACAGCATGCACTCATTACAAGAAGTGCTGTACTGTTAATCACACACGCTGATGCTACTCATCATTTGCAACACACTGTTAGTCTTGATATCTTTCACCTACAGACTATTTTTTTCTCATGTCACCTATAAACTGAATCTCATGGTTTAGTACTTATTGTAGACCTATCCATATGATTTTTTCCATTACTGTACAAAAAATCATGTTCTCAATTAATCAGCTTTGTAGCTTATATTTTAACCTTGCAACAATGTTGGAACTGCGCCCAGGGAAAAATTCATAATAAGTACCACATTCTATTAAATAATTTGCATATCTTATACTATTTAACCTACTTGGCTAAAATGCTTAAATACTAATAACATATGGCACCAGAGGACAATGTTATTAAATTATTTAAGTGTATTGTTAAGAGACAGCATAAGATATTTCATAACAGGAACGATATTCTTTTTGGTAGAAAAGACCATAAAAAGAACATTGAATATTTACTTCATATTATACCTTTCTCTCTACCGAAAGAGAAAAATAAACTATTCCCAGAGCTATCAGGAGTTTCCTTCAGCCCCTAAGCTAAAGATAGATAGATACTTTATTGATCCCGTGAGGGAAATTGCAAGACTAAGTAACAGAAGTATTGTAACTACTACTTCATTCTTAACTCAATTGAATTAGTACATCTACTGATATTTCTGCCATTCTATGCAAGTTTAAACTTTTATAATCTATAAAAAACCAACATACACTGTTATCAGCACTGTAGGAGCACAGTCTTCAGTCTTGATGTGCTCTGCTGTAGATGAAACAAAGAGGTAAATCTAACCAAGTCAAGGACAGACACTGTCTACGGAACAGCATGTTCAGAAAAAACATGTATTCAGTCCCAGTCAAAGGACATCAGGCTACTGCGTGTGGCAAAGCAAAATGACTCTTCAATGAAGTACCTATAGCACACCAGAAAAGATCAGCTCTGCCGTGTGTCATGCACACAGTCAGAAATACCCACTCTCAAAGGAAGTGCTCCAGTTAAGAGCTAACGAAGGCATCCATCTAGATCTTGAAACCACTAAGCAGAAAAGTAAGCAATTACCTCTAAACTGCTTTAAACTGGAAAACTATGTGCCTTTTAGGTTTCCTCATTTCTCTACTGCATAAAACATGGACACAAATATCACTGAAAGTTAATAATGTAGGTCTTACCTGCTAATGTATAGAAGTTTTTAAAGTACTCTGTGCAGAATCATTGCAACTCATGCCTGCCCGCTAGAAGCATGAGAAAGCAAAAGTTCATGGTGTTAATATGAAGAACAGTGAAGGAGCATGTCTATCGAGGGAAAAATCTCATGATCTCACTACCATTGAACAGATCTGGACATAAACCTCAGACCACTGCTAGTTGTTTGCACAGTAACTTTTCTTTTTCTCTTCTATCTGCAATGCACTGAAATAGAGCACAACTAGAGCTGTCAAATGCCTATACCCCCTTTCTACTCAAATAGATCTTGTTTAACACCTCTCTACGCAGGAGTCAGTGTCATGTAACGTCAGAAGCAATATTCAAGCAGAAGTTATATTCTCTTTACCTGGTCACCCCTCATAACTAATATCTGTCACAAACTGCTA